ACGTCGGTTAACACCACATATACACGGTGCCAAATCCCAGAAGACTGCTTTCTTCATAGTCACTGCCGTGAAAGCCTCAAATCTTACATTAAATGTTTAGTTGGTGGAATTCTGAACATGCAGTTTAAATGCTTGTCTATACTTAAATTAGGCGAAAGCCATTAGTTGGATACAACTTTGAGAAATATGTACCGTGTATCCGTGGAGGCGGTCAACAATTGGAGCAGGCATCACGTTATTTATACATACATACATACGTACATACATACATACATACATACATACACACACACACTATATCCATCAGGATGAACTAAATGTCTGGAACCCACAGAACGAACCCTATGCACAGCTACAATTTTCGTATCCACTTACAGTTATACATACTTGCTGCAAGGACTCGTCCTTGCCCTGGTTAAGTTAGAGGTCTCCTTTCCTCTCCTCTCCTCTCCTCACCCTCCTTTCCTTTCCTTTCCTTTTGTTATCGTGCAGCTGTGCATTATTAACGGGATAATGAAGGAACACAGTGCGAGCATTACTTCTGTTCCAAAAAATGACAAGAAATTACAATTTTTCAACTCTGCAATATTACATACGTATCAACCAGAAATGGGCTTATTTTTATTGGTGCTTAAAGTCCCTAAAAACTTAGCCGGATATAAGGAACACAAATAAAATCCGTGGCAGTCCCTGATCCTTTCGGTATCTCTTATAGAATCGCATATTAAAAACACGAAATCTTAAAATTAAAAACATGATTGAATTTTCTGTGGGGTAAATAGCACCACTGGTGAGTTTGCGCGTTTTGTTAACGGTGAGTATATGATTCAGCAGTTTTATGCTAAAAATTATGTTGTATTATTTTGCTTTAGTGGCCCACTGCTTTGTCTCTCGAAATATAGGAGACAAATTGTTAGAACAGAGAATCTGCATTACAATTTCAGTGATCCTGTACATAGACGCACCGCCGACATTCATAACGGAGCCTAGAGGCGATGGACAAGGCGCAGCTCAGAGGTTTCTGTGTGGGTTAAGTACAGAATTTTAGAACTGTGTCTTCCAGATTTTGACAACTGTAGCCTGGCAGTCGGTTATGAGTGTTTCGGAGGAATCTTCTGTCTCCATCTTCAGCGTAGAGTGGGTAAAGCCTGATCAAGTTGGTATAGCGGTAGCACTTTAAAAGGAGGTTTTTGAAAAAAAAAAAAAGAAATGTGCATTAAATATAATAAAAAATTGAAATAAATATTAGTACAGGCCGGTGGGATGATTAAACAACGCTGCGCTAATTCGGACTTCTATCACATTTTCTGAATTAACCTTTTTTTTTCCTTTGGCCCTACAACCCCAATTTGGGCCTTGGCCTACCTCCATGAAACTCTCCGTTTCACTTTGGTTTACTAGACCTTAGACATTCGGTAGGACTCCTTGGGTGGGTGATCAGCTCGTCGCAAGGCGACACAGACAAACACAGAAAACTCACACACACAAAAACTAGACATCCACGCCCTGGATGGAATTCGAACCCACGGTCCCAGCTTCCGAGCCAGCGAAGACAGTGTATGCCTTAGACCGCTCGACTACCGTGACCAGGAACTAATCTTAACAGTGGGAAAAACGCATTATGACTCAAAATGCCGAGATACACATAGACAAACCAGTATACCATTTAAGAGAAACCGACCTAAATAGTTGAGAAATCGTCGATAAATAATCTTGAGGTCAGTAACTTGGCAGATGGGAGAACACCGTGAGCCCCATTTGACAGTGCTGTGCTGTTATATCCGTCGGTTGAGTAGTTCGCTGCGCGGCCGGTGTGGCGCGGAAGCGGTGTGGGACAGGTGCGGTGGAGATATGCTCTCCCGGCAAGTCGTGATATGTCTGCGTGATTCTCTACAGCTCAGCACTTCAAAGTGCTATATGATGCCTGATTAATGATACAGTCGCTCGTGAAGGTAGCCTTTGTTTTCACTTCTCCAGCATTTGACTCGTTTCAGTGGCTATCCTCTTGTACATAATAAAGGTGTTGAGGCGCTCGTGTACCGATTTTCAGGAATATTTTTTGTGAGAAATGTTGCTTTTGTAGCTTCCGATTTATTTATATGCGTCCATTGCAACATTAGTATAATGTAAACGCAGACTGGGGGGGGGCTCAATCCTTATTATAATCCCTGTGTTTCAACTTCGACATTGCTGTACAAATTTCGGTTACATTTTATGCTGCGGGTCTGTAACATTTCTTGGGCAAGTTTTAATATCATTTCTTCAGGTCTTATAAAGCTGTTTTTACAAAAATATAACACTTATCGTGTATGGTGTATACCATACATTTCAGATTATTAGAATAAGAAATTTCGCTTCACATAATTATATACACGTATATTGTGAATATTCAGTGGGGTAAGGTAAAGATAAAACTACCCCAGTAACAGGCCGTGGACGCCCATAGGGTTGTGAGACGTTGAGGTTCCCACATTTTCTAGACAGTCGGCTCACAGATGGCGGTGAGGTTGTCGGTCTCACGCACCGGCCGCCCTTTGCCCTCAGGAAGATTCCTGGTACTCACATCTGCTAGGGGCTGAGTCTACCCCAGGGCCATTTTGCGGCTGGAAGGATTAGGTAAATTGAAAAATCCAATGATCTCATCGGTAATCGAACCTGCCACCGCATACCTACGTGTATTTAATGAGGTGCAAGGAAAATAATTTCCGGCTGTATGCAGTATGTGTATGCAATAAAGAAACATCGGTGCCCCTGAGATATGCTGCAAAATGGAGAACTTAAAGAGAGCGGTCTTCTGGGATCTCAAATCTTACACAATGGAGAACTTGTTTGTGTATACCATTGCAGTGTATTTATCCAGTCTTGTTTGTACAGAGCCTCATGGAGGTAAAAGACTATTCCTGTAACAGACCGTGAAGGCCCATAGGTTTGTTAGACGCCGAAGCTCTCAAATTTTCTTTAGAAAATCGGCTCACCGATGGCGGTAAGGATGTCAGCCTTACGCCCCGGCCGCCCTTTACCTCCCAGGAAGATTCCTGGCACTCATTTCTGTTAGAGCCTGAGTCATCCCCAGGGCCATAGTGCGGCTGGAAGGATTAAGTCAATTGAAAAAATCCACCTAATCAGGACTAGAACCCGCTTCATTCCGGCTTGTAGCATAGTGCCTCAACGACTACGCTACCGCGTGCCCCACAGCAAATTGCTGATTAAGACGCGTGGAATGACATTTCCCTCCAAAGAAGATGTAAACTAAATGAGAAAGTCACAATAAATGATACAAATTCCGTCCCAAGTGCAAACAATATATTATATGTCCTTGATCTCGCTCTCCTTTGCACTACATGTTTCGGCCTCAAACGGCCATCATCAGGTGTGTACACTCACATAAAAATACATTGTTCCTTTCCTTGTTATTATCAACATCTACTTCGTTGATATCTGTCTGGTTTATAGATTATTTTTGTTACACACGTTAATTTTGATTTCCCTGTAGTAGCACTATAAAATCTTTAGTTCTAATTTTAAAATCCTTTAAAATTTTTCTCTAAATTTTAAAATTTAAAATTAAAATTGTTAGGGTTACTCGCCCTATGTCTAAAGTGCTGCAGCGGCCAGTCCTTGTTTCCACACTGTACAGGTGTTATTCTGTGTAGTCTTCCTGTGTGCGTGCCGCTGCTTGTCTTTACTAAGTCACAGTCCATTATAAATTTTGTGCGTCAAGTGATAAGAATCGCATCGGTGACAAAATTAATAAAATTTGGTTTAAAGAAGCGAGCATGTGTTGCAGTTCCGTGGCCAGAATCCCAAATATATTCACAGTGTAGGGAGTAATGTCACAGGCACGTGCCGCTGTCATGGCTTAGTACAGCGAAGGATTCCCAAACAGGGCAGGTTCTGAAACCATCCGTACTACTGTTGCATGTTGCCATCACATGCAGCTGCATTCTGCACTCCGCAGTATCACGATTGTTTCGACACAATGCGGTCGGAGCTGCTGGCTGTACGTTACACAAACTGCAGCTCACAATTATTCTTTAGCTCCCGGTTTGCATAATCGCCATGCTATTTTCCATCTTCTGAAAAACACCTTCATTAAATTTAAATACTTTACAAGATGCTGTCACCATTAAAGATATGTAATATTACACCAAGTTCAACAGACGTTGTTCCCACCTAGGATTTTCGCCCAGCGGCCATGTAGGCACCGCTGATCAGGAAAAAATATTAAGGAATACCAACACGGGGAGGTATTAAGAAGAAGAAAAAAAAATACTCCGTGGCCTGTAGTCCGCAAGCGAACTATACCGATCGAACGATCGCTGCTTGTCGGCGAAATTAGTGTCAACGTTAGCGGATAGAGGGTGTCACGTGGTCAGCAAAACGTATCCCCACGGCCGTTAATCTCAATTTTCTAGATCGGAGCCGCCATTTCCTTGAAATAGCTACTCAACTATCCTCACGAGGCTGAATGGACCCCATTCCAGACCCACTACTTCTCAGGAAATCTGGTAGCACCGGGAATCGAACCCGGGACCTCTGGATCTGTAGCCAGGAACTCTGACCACTAGATCACAGTGAGAAGATTGAAGTTCAAAATCGAGTATGAAGAAAATCGACAAGTGTTATCTATACTGAAACGTGTACCTGAATCAGGGGACGGTCAACAGACACACCCGTCGCTATGACAGACCGAAGAGAAAGACAAGTTGCTGGAAGTGTTGTAGCGACATCTGCCTGCAAGCCTACAGCAGAATCACTTCAAACTGATCTG